TATTATTATTTTTAATAATTTTTGCATATCTAATACAGCTCAGTCTCGATAATTTATAAATCGAAAATCGCGATAAATCGATAAAAATTCGGTTCCCTTAAAAGATTCGTTATCGATAAATCTCAAAATTTGAATATCTGTGTAAATCGAATTTGGAATTATTGAGACTCGACTGTATTTTGCTTTTCATACCCCCTCTCCCTTTTCTACATAGTAAAACAGCTAGCCGTTAAATAATTACCAAAACTATCGCAAACATTATATTAGATTATGATATGTAACAAATAAAAATATATCGAGACGGCAGGAAATATTTAACAGCTAGCTGCACAGCAGCAACCACACAGCCAACGGCAGCAACCAGGTCCGTGGCTCCAGATGTCGCCTCTGAAGGCCGCCTAGTTGTAGTAGAAGTTGCCGCAGTAGCGACTGCCCCGCTTGGGATTGCTGTAGAGGGACTCCCGGGGCACAGCATATTTGGGGCAATGTTCGATCTGGTACTGGGCGAGTCGTGCCACATGCTGCAGGGGCTTGGAGTAGCGGCTGCGGAGCTGCAGCTGATGCTGCTGCTGTTGCATGAGTTGCTGCTGCTGCTGCTGCTGTTGCTGCTGCTGCAGCTGCTGCTGCCGCTCCAGACTGAATTTGGGGCCCATGATGCGGGTGGGCCGGTAGCAGAGCGGCACAACGTAGGGATTCTTGATCTTCAGCTCCGTCTTCTTGGGCGGCGTGGCCTCCTTGTCGAGCTCCTCCGACGCTCGCTTCCGCTCATCGCTGCGCGCATCACCCGACTTCTGGCTCCAATAGTCGCGCAACAGGTTCGCATTCACGACCAGAATTTTGGGCGCATCCTTTAAATTTGGGCTCATGCTCGACTGCCTCAGCTTCTTTGGCCTCGGATCGGCCTGCGGCTTGTCAGCGTCCGCCTTGCCGGGCGCCAGCTCGCCGCTGTGGGCCATTCGCTTGACGGCTTCGGTGGCCGGACTGCAGGCCAATTGCCAGGCCAAGCTCAGATTGGGAACGGCCGGAGTGGACGTGGTAGACGCTTCTCTCTCTCGCTTCCTTATCGGCATACAGGGCGTCGACTGGCTGCGACCTTTGAATCCGCTGAAGTACTTGCTGCACTCAACATAGTCGGACCAACTCGTCTCCTGTCTTCCGTGCTTCGGTATCGCCGTATTCTCTATATCCAATGCCAGTTCCTTGATTTGCATATTTTCAATTAGCTATACACTCGAAGAGTCGAATCGACTTCAGTTCCTCTCTTGGCTAGTTGTGAAATGAGCTCAATTACTAGAAATACATTTTCGGGACATTTGTGCAGAATTTTTCAACTTTTTTCGATTTGTCGTTCTATTTTTTCTTATTTTTTTTTTATTTTTGTATTTTTGTTTTTTTTTTTTTTGTTTTTTTGTAGATGTATAGCCCAATATTTCGATTTAGAATGAGTGTTGAAAATCATTTGAAAAATCCAAATCATTTTCCCTAACAACTTTTGCCCTTTGATTTGCTGTCAATTTTCGAAGGTTCAATTTTCAGTTATTTCAGTTAACGTTTTTGCTTGGCTTACTCAAAACTGGCTTAAAGCCCCTGCAAATATTTGCTCAAGCAGTTTGTAATGCCAAAATGTAATCTTTGCTTATGATTTATAAATATTTTTGGCGCTCTTGCTGTTGTTATATTTGTTGGGATTTTGTTTATGGCCCATGTGGGTCACACAGGTTGCCCAGCACACACACAGACGCACACACGCACACATCAACTTTCAGATCGACTCATGGCATTAATGCAAATAAGTGGAAATACAAATATTTTCAACGTTTTGTGGTTTGGGCAAACCTTTCGCTCCAACTCTGAAACCCCCCATTTATTTTGTTTTTTTTTTTCGTTTGGCCAATGCCCAAATAAATTGCTGCAGGGGCGTGTGGCCGGGGCGGGTTGAGCCAGTTTGGCAGCAACGGCAACGGCAACGGCAACAAGGTCGATGGATCATTTCCGCTGTCATGGCGCTTCCTGAATCCCTTTTGCCCCAGCGTCCGTTTGGGCCAACCGTTTCCTGTCGGCGACGTAGTTAAATATTGAAATTTATATTTAAAATATTTCAAATATACAGTTAAATGTGAGCTTGTCTCCCCCCCCCCCCCCCCCCTCCTATTAGGCCAATGAATATGAAAATCAATTTGGCAGGCTAAACAGATAGAGAGATAGGAGAGAGTGGAAGTGAGAGCGAGACAGATATAACCTATGCCCATGAAGGTCATATCCCTGTTTAGCTCTTTAAGCTCTCAGCTCTCATCTCTCCTCTCTCTCTCACTCATCTCTTCTCTCCTCTTCTCCAGCCACTATCGACCTTTCGCCTAGGTCATTCCCATTTTATGGCCCATTCTACATTAATTCTTCAAATTGACAATCATTTCGACGCTGACTGACCATTGCAGTACCGTTGTTTTCTTTGCGTTTCCCTTCTTATTTTTGCCCTAGACTTCCGGTTCGGTTTTTTTTCTCTCGCTGGTTTTCCTTGCCCCTCGGTTTCCAATTAGCAGCAGGAATCACCTTTTTTTTTTGGTTTTTTGGGCTTTACCATTTCCATTTGCCTGCGCCCATTCGACTTGGAGCTGGAGCTGGACTTGGGGCCGTCGTGTCTTTGTGTTAATTGAAGATTTGTACTTGCTACAATTTTATGGGCGAACGATAAGACGAGGTGGGCAGGAGCAGGAGCAGGAGCAGGCGAAGCAACTGGGTAAGAGTGAGCGAAAGTCGGAAAGTTGTTCGATAAATGGCGTAATAAATGGTCCTCGTGCTGCTCGAACAGAATCCTGGGCACGCGCAGGTTAATTGCATTTCGCACTCATTTATTTGACGATTTCGCCGGATGCTGGAACCGGAGAATCTGAGCATCGAACGGGCGCTCTGCTCTGCTCTTTAACTTTCAACTTTATTTTGTATTTGTATTTAATTAGGCGTGCTGCGTTTTTATTCTGTTAGATTTATTTGGACAGCACTGGCTGGAGCACTCTCTGACTCACTCTCTCTCCATCTCTCTCTCTCTCTCTCTCTTTGTGTGAGTGTGTTTGCATTGCATTTCCTTTGTGCGCTACGTAAAATGTGGATGTTGGAACAGCCACTGTGAACGCAGAAATCCACGAATCCACTTAGCGGCGCATAAATTTTGCTGCGAACATAAAATACAAGTGTACAAACAAAAGGACTTTTGGCGACGCCGAGAAACGGGCATTAAAACGCATAAAGGAAACCGCATTCCAAGTCCAAAGTCGGACAAAGTGCAGCTGAGCGGCCATGGGCAAACATCAGCCGAAGGAGCAGAGTGAATAAAATCGCTGCCAGAGCAGATGAAAAATGAAGCAGCAGCAGCGGGAGCCGGAGCAGGAGTAGCAGGAGCCGGAGCAGGAGTAGCAGGAGCCGGAGCAGGAGTAGCAGCAGGCTGAAAAATCCTCTCCAGCAGTGAGCAGACCTTTTGCCTATTTACAAATGTCGCACCGAAACATAAAGAGTTGGCAAACCCTGCCGCACCCTGCCTGCCTGCCTCCTGCCCACAGCCGAAGATGCTGGGAGTGAAATGCACGTAAAATAATAAACAAGGCTTTGCAAACAATAAATGTTGCTCCTACTCCTTGCTGCTACTTCGCCTCCTTCGAGTCCTCTCCAACCTCCTCCAGTCTCCTGCTCCAGCTGTTCAGCTCTTCCTCCTGTTCGCTACGAGCTGTTAGCGACGTCGACGAGATTGCTGTCGAGTCTTGTTGCAGGCCTCTGGTTGTTGCATGCCCGCTCTTATTGTTGTTAAATGCGAGATGCGAAATGCGAGACACGAAATGCGAAATGCTTGTAAGGCCAATGCAAATGTAATGGGCAAAAAGGACATTTCACGCTGCCGCAGTCGAGACTGCGCTGACCCCAGGCTGCCAGGCCAGGCTGCTGGCACAGCAGACAGCCGCCGGAGCCAGCCAGCATCATCGTCGTCCTTATTAATTGCAACAATAACTGGGCCGTTGCTCGTTGTAGGTGAGCTTGGCCTGCACTTGCTCCTGCTGCTGCTCCTGCTCTTGCTCTTCCTCTTCCTCTACTCTCCTTCAGCTGGCTGCGAATTTATGGCACGAGCACAGGAAGCAGCACTTAGCTTCTGGCACTGAGCCCTTCACTTAGTCCACACTGTCCACTGTTCCATGCCAGCCGCCAGCCGCCATTCACCATTCCCTTCACCAGTTCATCAAAAGCAAACTACCGTGAAGGCTTGAGGCGGATGCTAGCATATGCACGATATATACTCTCTCTCTCTCTCTCTCTCTCTACATATATATACTCTAGTATATATCGTAATGCATGCAGATCAATCGTCCGTCGGTTGGCTTTAATGCCCGCCCGATAAGCAATTGCTTGAGGCCAACAACTTCAACTTGGCTAGCTGCAGGCGAGCGCCAGCTATTTTTTATGGGCCAAGACTTTCATGGTTTTCGGGCAACTCGAAAAACATTTAAAGGCAATAAAGAATGGCGCGCGTTATCAAGAGGCTGCTTCAGCTCTGAAACGGTCCGATTTTCAGGCAGGTATTCAAATTAGGAACGGGTGCCGCATCTACCACCTGCCCTCTCACTCCACTCTCCCCACTCCCCCCCTCTCCAGCACCGCACGCAGCAAGGAAATGAGCCGTTGGCGCTGCTGCCGTAAAATCCCCGGCGACCATAAAAACCACTGTGACGCTGGCGAAAGTGAAGAAGAAGATGAAGAAGCAAAAAAAAAAAAGTAAGCAGAAGCAGCAAAGGTGGAAAAGGTGCAAAAAAAAAGGGCAAAAGTGCTTGGCAGTGATTTTTTGCCATCGTTCGAGCCACGCAAATAAAACGAAAATGAACTCGAAACGTCGTAGAAAAAGTTTATTTTAATGAAATTCGCGTCGACATTTAACGTCGACGGGCAAAAACTCTTTCTCTCTCCCCATCCCCGCTCCCTCCTCAAAGCAACAGCAGCCCAAGCCAATGGCAATGGCAATGGTATTCACGTGCTCTTCATAACCCAGGCACAAAACTCTCCCTCTGTCCTCCTCTCACCAGTTCTCTCGTGCACATAAAAAAAGAAAAGCGATTGGCCGCATGTATTTAATTGAACCCAGCCCAGCCCTGCCTTACCTTACCCTACCTTTCCTAGCCTCATCTTAAATACAAAATCGAAGTTTGCTTTAAGCACAGCAGAAGCAGAGCCGACTATAAATTTAAACCACACTCACAGGAGTGATAACAACAACAACAAAAACAACAACAACAACAACAGCAAGGATAAGCAAATAATAATGAAAAACAAGCTAAGGTGCTTAGGCTGAGTGGTGCACTCTGTTCCCCATTGTATTGTAAAAGTTTACCACAAAAAAAAAAGCTTATTAAAAATCTGAAAATCACATAGAACGGCCTCTGGCAGAAGAGATAGTAAAGAGCGAGAGTTAGAGAGACATAGGAAAGGGAATTTCCTAGTGAACTAAGATTAGTCCGATGATTGAAATGCAGCCCATACTTGTATAATCACAAAAAACGAGTTGAATTTCTGGTAATCGCATGGAGAACTTCTATTTCGGAGAGGCAGACAAAAGCAATAAGCCTATGTGTAAGTTGGCAGGGAAAGCATAATCCCATAACGAATTGTACTCAGAAAAGCGAGTTAACGTAAAGGGAATAAACATAGTGAGGGAAAGAGATAGAGATATATAGATTGAAAGATTGGGCAGACAAAAGATCTCTTCTATAAATACAAACATAAATAGCATAGAGACGCCTGTAATATAAATATGAGCTATAAACATGGAACGAGCAGGAGCAATTAAGCATGAATAGCTAATGGGCTTAAGGAATTTATTATTTGAATATTTGAATTTATGAAAATCACATAGAGCGGTCAAAGAAAGAGAGAGAGAGACAGAAAGAGAGAGAGAGAGAGCTCATACCATATAAGACTTCTATATGTGATTTATGAAGAGTCTTGGTTAAAGAGCTCTCTCTCTCTTTCTCTTTCTCTCTTTCTGTTTTCATATGAGCTCGAAATATTATTAAGTTATATATTTATATTAGAAGCACCTTAGGCTGGTTAAGAATGAATATCTCTCGCTCTTTTCATATAAGACTTCTGAATGAGATTATGAAAATCTTGTGTAAAGAGTTCTGACTCTCTCTTTCTTTTTTCATATAAGCCCTCTCTATATATATTTTTTTTTTAATTTAAATAATCAGTACCTTAGGCTAATTAAGTATACGTTTAATATAAGACCTTATTAAATATTTAATAATATTAGGCTCCTTAAAAATGTGCTGAAAATCGTCTTCTTGTTGCTGTTTAAGAGATAGGGAGAAAGAGAGAGAGGGAGAGAGAGAGAGAGAGAGAGAGAGGGAGAGAGAGAGAG